TAAAAAAAAAACATTTTAAAAAGATTTGTGTTTTAGAAGAAGAAATTTCGGGTATCCAAATATCTAAGTGGATGTTTTTTCGCAAAAATTTTGGATCTAATATAATTACTTTTGAAAATATTTCAACTTTAGCTTAAAGTGCTCATAATACCCTAATCTACCTTATTACCGTTTTTATGAATAGGAATTATTTTCGCAAATTTTAATTGATCAGACTCCATTTTTTTAAAAAAGTTAAGTGTTAATTCTATAGTATCTAAAACTTCACAACAATCGCACTAACATCATCAAGACTTGCGCTTTTATTTGTTTAAAGCATGTTAAAAGATAAGCAAAGCGCATTACTCAATTATTCTAAATCGTCCATTACAAAATTAGTTTTAACAAAATCAGATTTTTAAAATAAGACTTGAAAGAGTTACTTAGAGAGAGGTTTTTATATTTATTTTCATAGATTTTCATCGATTACTTATAGATTATAAATTTATATTCACATATTAATCCTAGGCATTCAACACCGTTGATCACTTTATTCTGTTAGATAGGCTAAAATGGTACGGGGTATGCAATAAATTATATTATTGAATAAAAAGTTATTTATTTAATATAAAAAGTATGTTCAATAAAAGAAATCTGGAATACTAAATATTCTGTGTGGAGAGGCTCAAGGATTGATCCTTTATTAATTATTACTAATTAAAAATAACAGCGGTCCTAGGACCGTTGTTTTTTTCAATTCATGTTAATAATTTCAATAATGCATCAGTAAAACTAAATTCATGTTTGCTGTCATCACAAACCCTTTTTTTTTCTCTTTCGTTTTTTAACAATATTTTCTGTTGCACATAATATATGAGAACACGGAAACTCGAAGAGGATTGTAAGATCCTGTCACCGAAAACCGTTTAAGAATACAATAATAATAAACAAACAATTTCAAAAAAAAAAAAAAAGTATATACCGTTTAAGAAAACAATACCAATAAAATAAAGTTTTTTTTAACGACATTTTATTAAAAAATCTCAAATATAAAACACCGTTTAACAATACAATAAAAAACGCAAACAAATATTTTAAACTACATTTAGATTAAAAGAAGTCAAATACATTATCTGATAGTATCTATTAGCGCAGCCGCCGTGTATAACTTCTAAAAAAGACTATTGGCACGGCTGCCATATAAACAGTTAAGAAAAGGTGTTTGCACGGTCAAATTGGCAAAATTTGAAATTGGACTGCACCGTAACTTTAGAATTAATAGGTACAACAAAACAAATTAAAAGCTGAAAAGGAAAATTTGAAAGAAAATGACAGTTTTGGTAATTACATAGAACTCTTTGCCATTCTAAAAAAAACGCGAAAAGAACAAGTAAAATTAAAAACTAATTTTTAAAACTCAGTGCTTTTATATGTTTTAAAAATACAAATTTTGTTATAAAAATACAAATAAGTTTTTTCTGATAATACTATTTTATTTTATTAACATTGACTGTATGCGTGTGTAAAAAAAGAAAAATTATTGAGGAAGAGGCAAGAATCGAACCTCAAACCTTTAGTTTACGAAGTCGACGACTGTACCAAATAAGCTAAACGCGCGTCTAAGAAATTAAACAGTTATACTTATTTATAAATATTAAATTCTTCTTTCCATATAAAAAATAAATTTAATTAAAATTAACTAAATTAACTAACTTAATGCAAAACTTATTATTGAATATTGTATTGTCATCAAGCAAGGGTATGTATACAAAATTTGAAGAAAATCTATTTATCAGGAAGTGATTAAAAAAATGATTGCAAGATTTGGTTTTGCGGCCGTGCGAATATCCTTTTTAGAATAGAAACACGGTGGCCGTGCAATTAGTCTTTTTAGAATCGGAACACGGCAGCCGTGCGAATAGCTTTTTAAGGTGAGTTTCCACTCATCCGTTTTTTCGCGGGAACGGGAAAGGGAAGGTTAAAACAATCACGTAGGCATCTGTATTATAAGTTTTAATTTGTCCGAAGTAAAACTGTGCATGCTCATGTGATTATTTTTTCCTTTCCTACCCCGTTTCTGTAAAAAAAACGAATGAGTGGAAACTCACCTTTAGAATGGGAATACGGTGGCTGTGCGAATAGCATCGGCCACATTATCTATTGAGAAAATATCTTTTTTCAGTTTATTTTTGAAATTAGAAAAATTCTTTGGGAAAAATCAAAATTTTTTAAAACTATTCGTTTCCACAAAAATCTCCGTAATTTGATATGAGATAGTCCAAAATTTTTATGCGAATAAGGTTGATAAATAAAATTATCATTACTTAGATCATATTTGTTTATGGATTTTATTGCATACAAATTTTGAAAAGATATAGGAGTTAAATTTATCTCCCATTTAAATATAAAGCATAGAACATTAAAAACATTTAGTTGGTATATATTAAGAATATTCATTTCGAATAAAAGTGGTTTTGCATTAGTTTTTTTTTTTTATCTAATAGCAATTTAAATCAACTATATTCTTAGTTTAGGTAAAATAAACATTCTCTAAACGTTGAAAAAACAAAATATAAAATGTTTCAAGATACTATCAAGTTTTCAGAAAACAAGATACTATAAAGTTATATATATATATACATGTGTATATATATATATATATATATATATATATATATATATATATATATATATATATATATATATATATATATATACATTTATTCTATCAACGTAAATAAAATAAATTACAAGTTAAATTTATATTTAGTATATTACCGACTTCTAGAAGATCACAGGAACTTATCATAAAGCGCTTTACAATCTATATTACAACAAAAAATACAATATTCTAATATTCTTCGCAATCTATATAATAAATAAAATAAATTACAAACCAAAACAACTAAAGTAACGCGATTAATTTGTATCGCATTGTATGGAAACCGTGTTATAAGAACTCGATTTGGTAAATGCATTTGTTGAATGCAACGTTATGGGAAACACAGAAATTATCAAAATATATAATTTTTAGTATACAAGTTAAATCGCGTTATATGGAAACTTCTGTCGCGTTATATAGAAGCAGCGTTATAAGAAACATAGAAGTAATATAAATTGAATCGATTCAACTTTTATTACTTTTATGACCGCGTTTGAATCATAGAAATAAACAATTATTTCTTTAGAAATAAATTCTGCACAAATAAATTTAATTTAATCTAGTTTTATTGCATAATTATTTCATTCAGAAAATTAAAAAAAAAATTAAAAAAAAAGTTGTTTTCAACAAAAAATTATAATGATGCATTGTAAATTCTGTTATTATTCGGCATTGCTGTCAAATGTTAGCCGTCTAATTCGTCTTCTTTTCTTTTCTCTAATTGGCTGATAATCTTCTTCACTTTAAAAATTTTCTTCTTGATTTTCAAAAGTTATTTTATTTCATAGTTCTTTAAAAACCTCTTTGTATGGAGCTAAGCAATTTTAAAAATCTCTTTTAAAATTTTTGCGTATTATTGAGGGATCATTTTAGGTTAATTGAAATTCTAATTTTTTAGCTAAATAATCTCTTTTTTTAAAAAGCCCTTTTTTTAAAGTTAAATTTAAAGCAGATTTGCTACTGGCGTCTTCTTCCACAAATGTGTCAGATGTAGACTCATCAATTAACTCTGCTAGTTCTTCTTCATTTAAGCTGTTTTCCTGAAGTTGTTGCTCTATATTTTGAACTTGTATATCTGTAAATCCTTCCTTGCCAAAAGTAGAAGCACATTCTTGATCTCTTATCTGCTAAAAATAACTGCAAAAAAATTCCGTATGTTATACATTCTGAAAGTTCGGATGATTTCTTGGTCCGGGAGCTGTATTAATGAAATGCAGTTAGGAGGAAAATAAAGACTTTTCACATTTGGGTGATTTATATATATGGTTTACAAATGAATCCCGTGGACAATAAATGTTTTTTGCTTAGTTTTAACAAAAATTGTTACTTGGAGCACTACTTGGCAAAGATTTACATTTACTTTTTCGCATAAATAACTTAAGTAATGCAAATAACGTGTTGGAAAGTTCTTATGTAAATCGCGTTATATGGAGAGCACACCGCGTCATAGGAGAGTTTATTGTATATATATTGTGTTAAAAAAATAACTTCTTTTAATTTTTATTAAGACAATTTAAAATAAAAATAAAAATTAGGTAAAACTATTTTATTCCAAAGAAAAAGACCACGATAAGAAATACAGAACTTGCCATTTTTAATTGAGAAAAATAGCATTTGGATATTTTTACCAACACAAAGATCATATTTGTTTTTAGATTACAAATTATAAAGATACAAAGTGATTTATTTTCTTTACACTTAAACATAAAACATAAAATATTCAAAACACTTCGTAAATGTTCAAAACTTTTATTTCTAAAAGAAAAGGTGTTGAGCTTGAAAAACGATTTGTAAAATTATTTGTACGAGCTGGGTTTTTTTTTAATATCAATAGAGAAATTTCAGTTTGGTTTTGTGAGCGCTTTAAATTATTATATTTGCATAATTTAAATGGCAATGAATAAATAAATAATATAGCTGTGTTAATTGGTGTTTATTTAATATAACTAACTTTACATATAACTACAATGAAATTTTAGCAATTTTCATGGAAATATATATATATATATATATATATATATATATATATATATATATATATATATATATATATATATATATATATATATATATATATATATATTATATATATATATATATATATATATATATATATATATATATATATATATATATATATATATTACTAAAGTTCTAGCAACGTTTCAAACATTTTACAACCTCCTAAACTTTGTACGAAAAAGTATTGCTGCTGTCACATTTTTGAGAAATTTTAAAAAGTTTAAATACAATATTGACATTTGTGCTCAAAGTTTAAATTACTTATGCAAATATTTCCTCATATAGAAAAAATTTCCGTAACACAAAAATAGCTGTATTAAAAAAACAGACATATGGATAATTGAAATTTTAATAATTTATGTTTATTCTTAAATCATTCAGTGTACATTGAATGAACAAAATATTGATAATAAAATAATTTAAATTTCAAACAAACTAAAAAAACTTTATTAAAAATCAACAATATTAAAAAACAAAACTAAATAAATAAAAAAGCATTCCAATGAATGGATACTTTTAAATATATGGAAGGTATAATTGCTATGAAAGAAGATAAAAAGGTATAATTTATGATTTTTAAAAAACAGGTTTTGGAAATTTTTTTTTCTTTACAAATGTTTGCTTTTCATAAAATCTTTTAAAACTATTGTAAAATCAGTTTAAATTTTTTACCGTTTATAAAACTTATTTTTATATTAACAATAATAACAGTTAAAATGATAACGATAATACAAGGACTACAAATAATAACGATAATAGAGAGATTTTTAGTGTCTAAGAATTTCAGACACTCAACTGAAGTTAAGTTTCAAGAGATTGCCGTAATGGCGTAAGTTGATTTTACAATCAACATTTAGATACACAACTGAGGGTTTTGATTTAGTCAGATACTCTTTTAATTAAAAGAAAGTCTCTAAAAAAAATAGTGTTGCGTCACAAAATTGAGACACCCTCTCCCTCGTAAAAAATCGTCACAAAAACGCCTACCTCCCCTCCCCTAAGCGTGACGTAATTTATGGACGACCTCATATAATTTTTTTGTTTATTTTTCCTTATTAAGTGGACAACATTAAAACTTCGAGTGACATGATTTTTAAGAAATTTAAGGGTTTCAAGAAGTTGTATTTCATCTATTTAATTTCATTTAAAACCATTTATTTCGTTTTCACTTTAAAGTTATAAAGTGTCAAAGATGAAAGTTTTACAAAAATTTTCGTTTTTCAGATTTACTAATTTGCTTTAATAACATCGAGTATGAAGCAAACTTCAAAGTTATGGTTATGGTTAACTATCAAATAAAAACGCAAAAAGTTTTATTTTTTATTTTTTTAAATGCTACGCAAAAAGTTGCAGTGATTGTAGAAGGAGAAGAAAAATAAAAACTTTACTATACAAACTAAATAAATAATTATTGTCTGATTTCAAATTTCATCTAACAATATTTTAAAGTAATGACCATATAAAGTTTATAACCACCTCATTTTGGGGAGAGAAACTTAACACGGTTATATCTTTTTATAATTAATTTATTAAAGATTACCACCCAGTAGAATTATAACCCAGTGGATTACCACCCAGTGGGAAGCGACTAACTAATGATGTTCGTAACTTTAAAGACGAGTCGCGAGGATTGCTAGTTAGACAAGCTAGCAATTAGCTAGTAAAAATTTGCATTCAAATTTTATATATTACGTATTTATATTTATAGTATATACTATACAATGATATTGAAATTTCTCATCAATATCTCATATACTTACTATAATTGCAGACGGCTTTGAAAAACAACTTTACACAAAGTGGAGGTCCGTGGTTCAAAGCCGGCTTTTGCCATAAATGCAATATTGGTAAGGAAGGTGGCGTAAACTTCCTTGTTAAATACTATTCTGCGGTGCTCTGTGACAAAAACATAAGAACTTCTTGAAACACAACTAAACAGCAAATTGCGCAATATGTACGATATTGCACAATATGAGATTTGCGATAATTTCAGTTAAAAGCCAATTTAATTTTTTACCTTTTTTTTTTATCAACACCAATAAAATGGTGTAACTTCTTTGAATTCTCACTTAAGTTTTCTTAAACACAACATATTCGTATATTTATTCTATTTTTCAGCGATTCTTTGTGATATGACCTCGAAGCCCTAGTATTTGTGTTCTTATATTTTTATGTAAAAGTAATTTTACACCTAAATGTAAAAATAACTACAACAAAAATTAGATTTTAAAAGTAAAAACTTGTAAAAAAAACTGCTATTGTTTACGATTTAAATATTATGGGTTTTATTATCTTTTTTAATATAATGAGAACAAAATATGATATGGTTACAAGTATGCCTTTCGGTTATATGAATGTCATAATAAAAATAAAACTAGTTGCTTAAGCTAAACAACTGGATTTGTTATAAACACCTGCCAAAATTTTACGTTTTTATTTTATAAAGACAATATTTCATACTCCACTCTCGTCTACGAAAGTAGTGAGAAAATATTAATTAAAAACAAACGAACCAATAACATTTAAAGTATGTGAAACGTGAAATCTTTTAAAAATTTTTATTAAAAAAAAAACCCCACAACAAAATAAAATAAAATTAAAAGACTTCTCTTAAATAGTTTTTTTTTTTTTTTTTTTTTTTTTTACCTATAAATGTTGATTACAAGAATTGACAACTTTTATGCATAGCGTTTATAAAACAACGGTATCTAATGAATATTTAAAAACATAAAAAATCTTGTTTTTACTAGATATACATCTATAGATTGTAATAATTTTAATTTTAGAAACTTTTTTTTAAACAATTTAGTGGATAGACTATTGGGCGATAGTTCATATCAAATACATTTTCTTTTACGATCTAAAAGACTGGCAAATGCAAAAAAAGACGGTACGAAGTTTTTATATATTTAAAAAATATATAAGTGTAAAATTAGATTAAATTAATCGTATAATTTTATTCACTAACTCAGATGTCTTCATTTTATTTCGTCACTATCTGATTTAACATTTCGGGTTTTCTCATTATTTATACCAATAAGACGTTCATTAAAAAAAGCTTGCTTTTACTCACCGGGGAAAGTATATTTTTACTTGCTTTTTGAAATTGTAAATTAAATTTTAATAAATATATACTTTTTGAACGATCTAGCTGTTCAATGACATTTAGTTGCATTTTACGGTTGTACCTAAATGCCAGGCCGGCCCAAAAACCTGAAAGCCAGCTGGGGTAAAAAACTTTTTATTTTATTTTTATTGGGATAAACAAGCTAATATAAATATTATACCAAGTTAACAAGTTTTAAGAAAGTTAATTATTCGAAGTTTTATCTTCATAAAAATAAAGAAAATATTTAAAAGACATAAAGTACACGAAAATGTGGTATAAAAAGACCGACTCAGGTGTTGATCTTCTGATACAGATTGTTGGCGTCATAATCGACATCAAAGATTGCACTAATTGCATTGAGACCATTTAAAACAAGCACCAAAGGGTTTAACACAAAATCAACGTTATAATATAACGACTATAACTTATAGTCATTGTAGGCTTGCATTATAGAAAAGTCGGCATTTAGGTTAAGTTAAATCGGTTTTGTGATATTCTCGGGTTTTTCACATTTAGTTAACCATTTGTTTATTTTATTTTTCAAACATAAATTAGATTTTCTGATCGTTAATTAACATGCTCTAGAAAAAAATGACACTGATTTATCCTTTCTAAAGCAAGTATACTTATTTTTATTTAAGAGAGAAATATTGATTTAGTCAGTATTCTTTTTTTAGATATTTCTTTGGGTATTTTACTGGTTAGAAAACATCTTTTATTATTCAGTAACAATTAATTTTTACATCTTTTTACGTTTTATAATTTATAAAACGTATAAAGATGTAAAAGTTAATTATTACTGAATAATAAAAAATGTTTTTAACCAGTAAAATACCAAAAGAAATATCTAAAAAAAGAATACTGACTGAATCAGTATTTCTCTCTTGAATAAAAATAGAAGCACAAAAATAATTGCTAGTAAAGAACTTATAATATAAGTTCGGCGGACTTGTAAACAACGCACCCCTATGAAAAACTAATTACTTCTATTTATCAATTATAATAAATTGATGTAATTACTCTTTAACTAATTTAATTAATTAATTTTACTAGGTCAGTAAAGTATCATTTTCAATAAAACGTGTTTTAAACTTAGGGGGGTGCGCCGTTTACAAGTCCGCCATAAGTTCTTTACTAGCAATTATTTGTGTGCTTCTATATTTATTTTCATTTAATATTATGACTTTAATATAAATATCTATTGATCAATTAGAAAAATTGATAAAGGAAAATTAGGATTTAGTTATATTACTTATTTAATAAGTAAATTTTGAAAATTTACTTTGAAATCAAAATGGCACTAAAATGCACTTTAAATAAAAATGTAAAGAAAATAAAGATAACAATTTGTTGAATTAAAATTACGAGCATTTGCTAATTTTATTCTTGGACTTGGCGCAATTATGCCAGAAGGTATTCATACCAACAGGCTTCAATTAGTCTCAAAAATAAATGTAAGATCATTCTAGGCCTCAAGGGTCATCTGATGATCATAAAGCCATAAATTGATTTTATAAGAATATGTGATTGGAACTTCAAATTATTCATTTATTGCTTTCCTTTTACAAATGTTGTAGTTTTTATCAACTTTAAGCATATCAAACACAATATCAGATTAAATTGTAGTTAACCTTACCATAAGCAAAGTTTTTAAAATCTGGTAAATTTTTTTTAATATGGTTAGAAATTGGGTAATGTTGCAGAATAGCAGTGAAAAATCATTTTAATATTTTGCTTTAAAAATATCGGAGATAGAGTTTAATTAAAGTAAAAAGTAACTTTTTAAAACTTTATTATTCCATTAAAAAATTCCATTAGACTAATAATATATTATGATTTAGTATTTTATTTTTCATTTCAATAAAAATGAACTATATTTTTAAAGTTTATAAAGTTTGTTTTTTTAAAAGTTTTTTTAACAAGTGTAAAAGCTTGTTAATTTTAAATTGCGACGCTAGTTTGGTACATCAGAAGATCTATTTACATCTTATTTTCATAAGTTGATAGCATCAACGTTTTAAAAATTTACTTTATTTTCACCGTATTTTTCTTGCCTCAGCTGTCAGTACTCTGTTTAAACTGTAACTTCATAAAAAAATATATTGTATATAATTGTATAAAATTTATTAATGATATTATTTATAAACAGTAAAATAAGTATTGTAACACGTAATGTGCACAAGGATCTCATACCAGCAAAAAGATTGCTTGTAACACGTATGTGCATGTAAGTGCACATACGTGTTACAAGCAATCTTTTTGCTGGTATGAGATCCTTCTATGATAAGGATTTGAAAAATGACAGGTGTCACTCGATTTTAATTTTACGTGACAGGTGGTATGACGCAACTGATCCTTATAGCAACTAAATTTTTTTTTAACAAATTAAATTTTTTTAATACCAATCATAAATCAGGTATTCAAAATAATATAAAAAACATATGTTGAAAGTTTTTACTTAAAAAGATACAGGGGTAAATATGTTTTTATTAAACTAGAGATAAACCGCTGCTTTGTGATTTTTAATATTTTTAAAAATACTTTCTTGAACGCAGATTTTATGTTTTTTGAAATTTATTTTTATTATAATTTAAGAAATATTAGTTATTATAGAATTTATATTATTTAAAACACATTTTAGGCAAAAATCATTTTTTTTATACTCTGGATTTTTACAACATACCTGTTTTGATGAAATAGAATATTTCATGCTATTATATTTAATGTTTTAATAACGTTATTTTACTTTTACATAATTCTACCTATAAGAATGCAACAATTTGAATGATTTGTTTTTGATTTTGGCTTTTAAAAACGTTTCTGTAATGTGTTATTGCTGTTTCATATATTAAATATTATTAACAAATGGAGGATGAAGAACGAAAAAAAAGAAAAGAAAACTTATTTTTGACTTTACTAAATGTTTGCCAGGAGGATGATCGTAAAAAAAATTATTTCTGTTTATTTGATTTAGATAATATTTCCTAAATCTATGTAAAAATATAAATCTACATATTTTTACATCTCTTATCCTTTAAAAATACGATTTGGTGCATTTTGGATATGTTCTTTAAGTAGTTTTCAAAAGTGTCTCCTAGCAATTACTAAATTTATTATCAGATTGTAAAAACCAGTTTGCGTGACGCTTTGGAAAAACTAATGGTATGTTTAAGGCAAAGGCACTTCTATCATGACCCAGAGGCAATAGATTGTTACCAAAAGTTAAGAGAAATACCACGCGAGGAACTAGATAAAATAGGTGTTTATCACTCAGAATGTGACAAAATGTTCACCCACTAAAAAAGTTTGCAACGTTTGCTTGAACAACACAGTATATTTATTGCAAGCAGTCCTGAAACTAGTCCAAAGTAGACATAGATGAATCAGAAGATTCAAGTCAAATGTCAAAAGGTACAGGAAAATTGCTCCGTTCGAAATCTCAAGTCTACAACAAAAAACTTTCGATAATTTGCCAATTCGCTCAATGATCAAAAATTTTTACTAAGAATGAACACTATCTCAAATTCTGATGACGCCATTGCATATGATGTTAAATACCACTTAAAGTGTTGGGTAACAGTGCAGAGATCTGTTAAATTGACAACAACTCAAGAAGAAATTCAAGAATTGGATGGTATTGGATGGGTTATCGCAGATGTAGAAATTATTCGTTTAGCCCATTTGAATTTAAAAGAAGATGGTTTTGCTATGGATATGAACGACATCAATAAAACTTACAACAACTTAACTGGGAATAATGACCAGACTGAGGTTAGTTATAAACGTTACTTAAAGAAACTTTTACAAAATAACGTGCCAGGAATAATTTTTTCAAGACTCCTGTGCCATAGAAAGTCTGAACAGCTTTGCTCTAGCAAATATAAAGCAAAGGCAGTAGATAACAATTGGGATGATTAAACAACAATTTTTGAGGTAGCAAAAATAATTCAGATAGAAATCCTGCAGCAAAGAAAATGAAAATTCACTGGTTTTGATACTCCAACGTCATTATTTTCTTTGCTAAGGTGGGTTATACTTGGACCAAAATAAAATGTAGCCTCGTGTTATGTTGAAAAAAAAATCCATTGATAGCCGTGTTGATAACATTTCGCAAATTATTGTAAAGGCATCAAAAAGCAATAAGCAAATCTCACATTACTCAAAAATGGATAATGATTTCAGAGATGTTACTGAAACACCTTTTTCAGTCGGCCTAGAATTACATGTGCATAAAGAAAATCGTAATAAGAAGCTGGTAAACTGCTTGGCATATCTTGGACTTTCTATTTCCAATGATAGTGTTATAAAGATAAAAAATGGTTTAGGAAACGCTTTTATTGAAAACATATTAACAAATCAATGCACATTTGTTCCTCCTAATATTCAAATAGGAATGCCATTGCACTTTGCTATTGATAACATTGACTTTAAGAATGACACTGCTGACGGAAAATCTGAATTTCATGGAACCAAATGTGTTGCATTTCAAAATAATTCAAATGCTAAAGGAAAGATGCTCAAAATACAGCATACAAGGTATCTTACATTTGCACATGCATCTATCTTTATAATGCATAGTTGTCCTATACCAAATTTACCCAATGAAACCTTTCAAGGTTTTGAGTCTCCACGTTCGTGGGTCAATCTTTCTTCATTTTGTACCATTAATCAAGTTTATGCTTTTTTTAAATGTGATTGACAAGGTGCTTTTAACTCCTTTCTTTCAGATGCTCCTACATCTACGGTAACACAGGGTCTACCGATACATGCAGTTACACCGACTGATTGGAATAACCTTTATACTGCATTAAAGTTTGTTCAGGTAATTAACGTTGCTATCACAGGGAGTAAAAAAACAATTGTGACACTTGATCTTCAACTCTATATGGTTGGGAACTAAACAATAGATCTTTTGACCCCATAATCTTTGCAAAAAATCTAATTCGATTACCTGCCAGCACGAATAGTACTTATTGAGTACTGTCGTTGTAAAGTAGACTGTAGTAATAAAAGGTGCACATTTTTGAAAAATAAACTTGTCTGTACTGATATGTGCAAGTGTAAAGGATGTAAAAATAAAAATGTAGACAACCAAAAGGAAAACTATGACTATGAATGTAGAGATTTATAAGACGCAATTTAATTTATTCGTATCATTAAATACCAGCTTGTAAGCAAGTTAATTTTAACATATATTTCTAAAATTTAGAAGGTTTTTGAGTTTAAGAAAGAAATCTTAGAATATTTGAAGCTTTTCATTCAATAAATGTCTTTAAATTCATTTATATTACAAGGTTAATTGACTTAATACTGTCAATTAAATATATTCCGGGGGTCCTTTTTTCTCTTCATTAAACATTGTGAATTGTAAATACTATTTTGGTTAACATATGATATTGTTTATATGTTTATACAATGCCAATATAATATATATATATATATATATATATATATATATATATATATATATATATATATATATATATATATATATATATATATATATATATATATATATATATATATACCAACTTAATTATTTAAGTTCTACTTAATTTATCTTTTATTGTGGTTATTTATAACCACAATAAAAGATAAATAATGTGGTAACTTTTATAACGTCCTATATCTTATGAAGTAAAAATTTTCAACAAATGTTTTTTATATGATTTTGAAAGCTTTTTTAATGCTCTTTCTAATGGAAAAAAACATTTTGAAAATAACAATTAAAATTTTTTTGCTATGGGGGCCTATTATGTCATACCACGTGACACAAACCATAAATATTAAGTGACACCTGTCACTTTTCAAATCCTTTTCATACAAGGATCTCATATCAACAAAAGTTTTGCTTGTAACACGTATGTGCACACAAAGAGTATTTTTGAAACATAGTGACCTGCACTATATGCACATTTTCATTTTTAAACCACATATTTTTCATTACAGACATATTTTTATAATTTAATAACATTATATATAAATGTAAGAACTTTTACTGTAATAATTTGCTTGATTGATAGCCAATTCAATTCATTAAGCATATCAACACTTTGTGTAAACCAATCACATTTGAGGATAGATCTCATTGCTCTGTTCTGTAGTAACTGAAGAATTTAATTATTCCATTCATATACTTCAGTTATCTTATTTGTTCCCAATAAGAGAGAGGCACAGTATTGATAGTGTGGTTTAATTTTTGTGTTGAAAACCAGTATTTTAGTCCATTTAGTAGTATATCTAGATATTCTACACAGACATAACCTTATTTTTTTAAAAATCTCTTAATGAGCTAAATTGTCACTTTATGTCATTCAGATTTTTATATTTTTTAACAATTTTCAGATTCTCTAGAATCTGAAAATTGTTTCCCTCTCTGGATTAATTTTTGAAAATCTAGTCTAGGTGCACTGCTTTGCAGGTTAGCAGGTTTTTTTTTTTTGAATTCCTTATATTTCAAATGAAAACCTCGGTTCAAAATTGATGCAACTCCATTTTTAAAAGTTGTCATGAGAATGAAAAAACAGATTAACTTTGAATGTATGGATTAAGTATCATTCAGTCAAATCCTTAGTTATATAGCATAAGGATTCTAAATTATTTTTACATCAGCTGTTAGACTATCTTATAATTAGTAATATTTTGTTCAAATCTAAAAGTTGACTAAAAGTGGAGTTACATTGTTTTTACACCGAGGTCTTTAATTGTTTTATGATAAGTAATAAATTTATGCTATATTTAAGATGTTTACAAGTAGTCAAAAATGTTTTGATTTACATTATAAAAAATATTTTATGTTATTATTGCACAATTTAAGAAGAGACTGCAAAAGCACAAGTTCACAATATATATAATGAACAGTTTATGGGTATGTTCAGTGATGCATACCCATAATGATTCAGTTATTTTCATAAAAATAAAACTAGCGATCTCCAATTTACTCTCATTTAATTCTAATTAGTATAAATATTTTGTAAGCAAAAAATAGTAAGCATTAGTAATGTTAACAAAGAATAAATAAAGTTTGAAATGGAATCACGCACGGAACAGAAAAACTTCTATTTTAATTACAAGATAAATAAACTTAAATTCCTCGGACAATATAAGTTTCACCGGTGTACTTTTTTTTTAAAATAATATTTTAAACATTAGTAAAGATTTCCAGAAAGTTACAGGATTGTACTATGAATCATAGAGTCACAGCAATCGTTTAAATGCAGTTTATGAATGATCACGCACAGAAGTCACGCACAGATGATGCAAATTTGTCAATTTCATGTAGTTATTTTTATGAAAATAAATTGCTTGTGAGTATTTCAAGTGAAATATTATACTTCTGCGACTCATATTTAATATATTTTTGATGAGAAACCGCAGTCATCAATTATTTCTAGCTAGAGTATGGCGTTTTGAAAATTATTGTATATTTTTGTAGCGATATTATTACTAAAAAAATAAAATTGTAAAAATGTGTATATTTAATTTGTTCAGATATATGATATCTGAACAAATTAAATATACACATTTATACACATTTTTATCTATGTGTATATTTAATTTGTTCAGCCTAAAATATGATAAAAATATTTTTGTTATAATTGTTCTTTAAGAAAATCAAAATAGTATGCATAATGCCTAAAGTCCCAGTTTTTAATTGCTAAAACAAAGAAAAATAAAAAACCATGCACAGAAATGGAAATGCCCTACTTTGAATTATTATTTACATGTTAATACCAAGAGGCTGAATAAGTGCAAATTTTATAAGTGCTAACTGACGTAAGTGCGAAGCAGTTGCAAAAATTGGCATAAGTGTGAATTGGCAAATACGCGAATTGGCATATGTGCCAAAAGAATTGGCACAAGTGCGAATTGACATGTGCCAACTGGCATAATGAAAAGCATTTGCAAAAACTGAAATAAGTGCTAACTGGCATAAATAAGTGCAGCGGTGTACGCTCCAGTTTTTTCCCAGTCACTGTGTGGGTAACTGAGAAATTTTTGATTTTTTATTTGAGTTGTCTGCTATGATAATCAGTAGTCCAGTGTAAAAGTTTTTTTTAGTATTTTTTCTCGGGTCAAAATAATGAAGAAAAAAAATTTAAAAATTTAACTACTTAAATACGTTTAATAAGAAACAATTTATTTAAAATTAAATTAACTAATTTATTAATTAAATTAAAGATGTGTTGTCATTTTTGTTGTAGTCAATCTTTGTATTGTATCAATTGTTTTTTCAATCTTAACAAAGATTTCATTACATGAAGCAAAAATGTTGAAAGCCAAATCTGCGAAGAAACGTTTTATATATAGAAAAATATTTTATTATTTTCTCTCAATCTTCAATCAAATTTAATTTAGTTGAATGTTTAAAACATTATGTTGTTAATGTTTTCAACATTTTTCATTATACTATGACTTTATTAAACAAAAAAGAATTTCCACTTGCATCATTAATTGCGTTCTAATAATGATTTTTCACATGCATCTTAATAATACTTTTTATTTTGTTAATTTTGTTTGACTAAGTTAAAAGAAAATTATTTTACTAATGAAAAACAAAAGAGATTCAGTGTTGTTAATGATTCAACTGCCCATTCATGTGATTCAAAATGTGACTACGAGGTTTAAAAAATGATACAATAGCATTTGGTAATTAAAGAAAATGTAACTTTAAAACTCATTTTAAATTGAGAAAAAGCGTGCTTAAAAATGCAACATTGTTTAAAAAAACAGTACAGTCGTACTTTAAAATATTTGTGTGTCAGCTTCTTTTTATTAAGTTTGGTAAAATTATATAATGCACTGTAGTGTACTCATTGTTAACCGAAGTGTATTCTACTAAATGCTTTTTAAATTTTTTTTTTTTAAATAGTTGCAAGGAATAAAATCTTTATAGATTAAATTTTAATTTTATTAATAAACATATTTTTGTAAGTAATAAACTGCCTAGTTGTCCTGCTGGACTACTGACAGGCATTTTTTCAGTCGCCCTTGGAGAAAACAAGTCGTCCTGTGCCACCGAACAACCATGAGAGTACACCCCTGAAGTGCAAAACAGTTACAAAAACTGGCATAAGTGTGAATGGCTTAAGTGCAATTTGAGATAAATGTGTTGAATAAAATTGCAAAAAATAATGTTAGTGCAAAATAGCATTTTGCACTTATGCCAATTCACATATTTGTCGATTCACACTTATGTCAGTTTTTGCAACTGCTTTGCATTTATGTCAGTTCGTACTTGTGCCGATTCGCACCTATGCCAATATTTGGAAATTCTTTTGGCGCATTTATGCCAGTTTTCACTTAGGCTGATTCGCACTTATGCCAGTTTTTGCAAATGCTTTGCAGTTGTGCTAGTTCACACTTATACCAATTTGCACTTATACCAATATTTGCAAATTGTTTTGGCGCACTTATGCCAGTTTGCACTTGTGCAAGTTCGCACTTGAGCCAGTTTGCACTTACTTCATTCACACTTATGAAATTTGTGCTTATTCAGTCATCTTGTTAATATAATTTTAATAATTCATTAATTTGAAACAAAAATGTTTTGAGTAGTTAACCATAAGTTTTCAAATCGCAAATTAATTGCAATTTTTATTTGAATATATTTTTTTCAGTATTTATTTTTTTGTTCTCCTAAATTTAAAATAATGTATAAAAGATTTGTCTTAACTTCTATTAAAAGATTTGTCTTGTCTTCTAATAAAAGATTTGTCTTGTCTTTTATTAATATATATTTTTATACTAATTTCTCTTATTTTTCTGATATTAGTGTAAAGAAACATGCATTGACAGTGGTTCAGCTAATCCTCTGGTCCCCTAATTATGTCAGAGAACCAGAGGATATCAGAGTAATATTTAAGTTTTGTTTTAGCAACTTATCAGGTTCATACATTGACATATACACCCTCTATGTCATATATGCATGGGGTTGCCAGATGTTTGGCTTTTACGTTGTAAAATACAGTGCCGAAGCTATAAAAATAAAGATTTTTACTGTGTTCTCCTTCGTAAAAGCCGGACATCTGGCAACACTATATATACACCTCACTTTAATATGTTGAAATGAAATAAAGTAAAATATAATTTTTTATTTTTCATACTAGTTTCATTTTTTTAAATAAACATAAAGGTTTTAAACAGTTTTGATTCCAATTAAACCATCACCACCAAATACACCCCTAACTCCAAGATACATCTTCGATATTTGCTGGTGGTCTGGAATAAAACAACACCAACTTTTAGTATAAAAAAAACTACAAGTTTAATAAAAAAAGTTTTATAGAAAATATGCATTTTTAGGTGGTAAGGTGATTGGGTTCAATGCTCCCTCCAGCCCATAGGATACACCAGAGGACAATTTACATCACAGTCCACTATATCTACTTTTGATACTAATTTAATGGTATTTAGATAGGAATGGATAGTTATAACAATTTATGTAAAAAAAAACAACAACAACTAAGATTAGACTACAGTTCCTTCAACATATCCATAAATATATATATATATATATATATATATATATATATATATATATATATATATATATATATATATATATATATATATATATATATATTAAAAACTTGTTACTAAAAGCCTCTTAATTTTTTGTAGAATTGTTTGATTTTGATAGTTTTTCCACCATTAAAATTTTGTTAATTTTTTTTTTTTGAGAAATTATTTAATAAATTTTAAAATTTTATGTCACATACCTAAGTATTCAGAATGTTTTACAATTGTTTTTTAAACATTATCTAATGATTTATCATTTATTAAGTTATAAGAAATAAATTTAAAAGTTAAATTAATAAAAAGATTATTTTAGATTTTTTAAAAAAAATTTAAAACATAGACTTCTTTACATTATTTTTTAAACCAATTAATAATTGGAATTTTTTGATTTATTTAATTTTTTAAATGAATTAATAATTTGAATTATCAATTTAGAAATTTAAATTGGGTATTCAAATCATAACATTCCACAAAATGTGTACCTTATGTTATTAAAGATTCAACAAAAAGAGAAACTTTATTTAATTGATTTTAAGGCCATAATGATTATGAGATATCATTTTTCTGGTCTTTCTTTCTTTGCTGAGAATAATAAGCCTTTTTTTTTTTACTCAATAATATAACTAACGCTTTAAGGTTTATTTTAATAATATAAAAATTGGTTATAATAATTTTTAAAAATAATGTAAAGTTTGACAAGTATAATTGTTACATTATTGTAGAATTTGAAGCAATTTAAAAAATTGCTTCGAATTAAGGAAAACAAGAATATTAAAATAAGAATAAGAATCCAAATAAAAAGTTTTTATTTTAAACATTTATATATATTCTTACTGTTTCTATCACTATGGTGAAAGAAATTTATCAATGCTAACATTTTTCAAAATTTATTATTCATAAATTTTTGTTTGACAAGACACATATTATTATCTGCTTTTGTGTTATTATAATTTATAATATAAATAATTGTTATGCATTTAAACATTAATTTATGTTTTTATTTTTATAAATTGTATAAAATTGAAAGGCTGCATTGCATTCAATGACTTGTAATTATTAACATTTAGTTTATTGGTTGTATCGATCTAGGATTAATGGCAAAATGTGTTGCCGGTAAAATGAAAAAACATGGTTTTTTATTTTATTTGAACACTTCAAAGGAAACTTTTCTTTTTAAAGTAAGTATTTTTTTTTTTTTTTATAACAGAATTGTTACAAGTTAAAATTTGCTATCCCCCATTCCTTCCAATTATTTTCTTAAATAAGTCTTTATTTTTACTTTAAAAGTGTTCAAAGCGTTGGCCTACTCTTGCTTTTTAATTGTTGGCTCAACATTTGTAAAACAAACTGCTACAGTTTGCATCACATATGCATAAATCATTTAATACTATGTTGACCTTACATTAGGGCAAAGTTAGTGTAAGGTTGTAAGGGCGATGTTGGCCTAACAAAATGTTAAGGTTGGTGTTGTTTTGGCATATGATCCAGTGTCCATTGAGGTTATGTTGACATTGTTTATACTCAATGTTTTTGGCAATACGTTGGCCCACTTCTTACTGTTATGTTTTAGGCTCAAGGTTAGTCGAATCAAATGCTACCAAGCTAGCACTCTTTGTGAATAACACATTGGCCCAACAACAAAACAATGCTTCAAACGTTGGGTAGACGTTTTTCCAACGACTTGTTCTTGCTGGTACAGTTAGCAACGCGTTTTTTTTTTTTTTTTAAATCTTCGCTTCCAACAAAGCTGCAAGCAACCACTATTAGAGTTGGAAGTTACTGGAAGAGAAAAGATGAAGATTTTAGAGCAAGATAATGATTGAAAGACGACTTAAAAGATTGCAAATTATATGAATCAGGAAAGCAAGATAAAGGAAGTGAATTTCAAAGAACTGTTAATCAAGGAAAAAAAACTAGAGAAATAAGAGTTTTTGGAGCATTTAGAAACAGTCACTTAATTGAGACTTAATTGAATGATTTAATTGTGAAAACTGAGACTTAACTTAAATGATGAGTAACATGAGAATAAATTTTAGTAGATGGCACAAGAGACGCTAGCTCTTTAGAGCAGTGCCCATTATATTATTTGTAGAAAAGAGAAAGAGAAACAACATTACGACGATGTGATAATGGTTGAAGGTTGGCTGCAAGAGCAGGTCCAAAAAGAGAAAGGACATCATTAGAAGATCCACCTCAGATATGGCAACAGTATTCTATACAAGGCTAGATTTGAGATTTATAGAGATACAGAATAGAATCCAGAGTAACAAAGTGTTGAGCTCGATAAAGAGATGCAACCTTAGCCAATGCTAATTTTGCAATGGATTTGATATATAGTTTCCAAGATAGATCGGAACTAAGAGTTAATCCTAAAAGATGAAGGATAGATGACTCACCAAGTATATTACCGTTCAAAAATATAGGAAGATCTAAATTATTACGATCACGATTGGCTAAATAAAATTGAGTTTTATCTGAATTAAAGTTCACCAGCCACTGTGAGCCCCATGCTGTAGCAGAAGTGAGATTCTTTTCAAGCTCAGATGCCCCCTCCAAGCAATCAGAGAGTGTTGGCTTATTACGACAAGAATAAATGGTAGTATCATCAGCGAACAATGCCACCTTAGATGTAAGAATATCTAGAAGGCTAATGGTTATTAAGACTATTTTAGTATTATTAAGACTTACTGGACAGTAGTTAGATGATTCAGGTCGCTCTCCAGAATTTTTGAAAATAAGGATGCAACTATTTAACAAGTGCTTATAAGAGTCTTGTTTTTCAGCAGGCTGAAAAACAAGACTCTTATAAGCATTTGTTAAATAGTTGTGAAAGTATAGATGACAGCTTTGAACACTTCTGCAAGACTATAACAGGGATGTTGTCCAGACCACAAGCTGTAGAAGAGTCTAAGCAGGAAATCACTTTAGATACA